TATTTTTGATAGGAGGATTTACGTTTCGGGTGGCACGTAGCCTAGTCGATGTCATTAAAAGTGGGAAACGTGTCGTATCATCGTGGTAATCCGCGATAATAACTCATTATCGACTTTAAACGTGACTGAAAAACGTACCAGTGAGCTTCGCAATGACAGTCAGACCCAGTGAGAACATGTTCATCCTTTTGATGCTGTTCACTGCGCTTATACCTTCTGTTGTACATAGCAATTATTTTGGACTGAACAGTGAAAAAAATGACCAGTGCTTCTGCAAGGTAACATTATTTTCTTTGTTTTTTCTTTGTTTTCGTAAAAATATTAACATAACCTGTGTAGACGTGTCAAAGCTGTTAGACAGATTGTTAGAAATTTTTTTATTAATTTCTGCTGATTCCTTATACATTTATATAAAAGCCTGTTTACAGTGTTTTCGCATTAAATAATTTAGCACAAAATAGTTATACAATAAAAATGTGTAAACATACGTTTAATTAATAATATATGTTATTAATTTTTAGTTGAAAGGTTCCATCGATGATTGCAGCTGCAATGTGGATACGGTAGATTATTTTAATAACATGAAAATTTATCCAAGACTTCAAAGTCTTCTAGTCAGAGATTACTTCCGGTTTTATAAAGTGAATTTAAAACAAGAATGCCCGTTTTGGCCTGATGACAGTAAATGTGCTATGAGATATTGCAGTGTACAACCATGTCAAGATGTGAGTGGTTGAGAAGTTAACATAATTGGGATGTTTAAACATTATAATGGAATTCTCTGAAGAAAGAAAAATAATAAATGTAATATTAAATGTTTCTCTGTTCATAGGAAGACATTCCAGATGGGTTAAAAGGAGATATGTTAAAACATATTCATTTCAACGAAAGTCCTGTAGATAAATATAAATTCAGCACTCAATACGATAATTGTCTGCACAGTGCTAAAGATCATAACAAAGAGCTTGGTTATTTAAATACAACCATTAGGTAAACAAATTTCCATAAGTTTCAAGAACATATGTTTGTACCATCCAATAATAACACTTTTTATTCAGTTCAGAAAATTATAAAGATTTTGAGTTGTGGCAGCAATATGACGATGCTCAAGATAATTTTTGTGTAAAAGAATCTAGTCCAGGAGAATATGTAGACCTTTTGCTCAACCCTGAGAGGTATACAGGCTATAGAGGATCCAGTGCACATAGAATATGGCGCAGTATTTACATGGAAAATTGTTTTAGGTATGCATGTTTGAGTCTAAAGTGAAATACAAAAGAATAAACAGTTTTATTATCAAATTTTTGTTTTTAGACCAGAAAATTCACCTCACAATTTTATTCAATCTTCAAAAATAAATGGTAAGTTTACACAATATGTTGTTGCCTTGCTTCTGAATTTTAACTTAAAAAGTATATTTTACCTTAATACAGATATGCATGTATATTGTTTTAGGGATGTGCTTGGAAAAGAGAGTTTTTTATCGTGTTATATCAGGTCTTCATGCTAGTATTAACATTCATTTATGTTCGAAATACTTATTGTCATCAACAGACAGTCTAGGAATACTGCCCACTGGTGGTCAATGGGGGCCTAATTTAGATGAGTTTAAAAATAGATTTTCACCTGAAACAACTGGTGGTGAAGGTCCAAATTGGTTAAAAAATTTATACTTTATTTACCTACTTGAACTAAGGGCTGTAGCTAAAGCTGCACCATATTTAGAGCGAGAAGAATATTATACCGGCAATAAAGTACAAGATAACGACACACGTCTAGCAATAAATGATATTTTAAGTGTTGCTAAGTATGTCAATTGAATAAAGTACTATGTTAAAAATGTACTTTATACAATTTTCAAATGTATGTGTATTTTTTTAGGTCATTTCCAGAACACTTCAATGAAAGTGTCATGTTTACTGGTGGAGCAGAAGCTAAACTTTTAAAAGAGCAATTCAAGCAACATTTCAGAAATATCTCCCGCATTATGGATTGCGTAGGATGCGACAAGTGTAAACTTTGGGGAAAACTTCAAATACAAGGGTTGGGTACAGCATTGAAAATTTTATTCTCAGGAAAATTCGATAAATGGGAACCAACATTACATAACTTTCATAGAAAACAGTTCTTCTTAGAAAGAAGCGAAATTGTTGCTCTAATAAATGCTTTGGGAAGGTAAGATTTAGTTTTGTATAAAATTATACGTTAAACGTTCGTGATATTTAGAAACTAGAAATGTAACTGACAGCATTTTCATTTCACAGATTATCAGAGAGTATCTATGAATTGGATAGATTTAGACAAATGTTAAGATAGCAGGGTAATAACATGTAATTATGTATTTACTACAAGAGAAACATCACACAAATTAATTAATATAATTTATGTTTAAGCGATAAGTTTGTCAAATAACTGATTTGAATCAGTTACATGTTACTTTGATGT